GAGTTTTCGACTTTTAGAGTCGAAACCCTTCATTATATAGTGTAAATTCGGCCGACGTAGACATAAGCCCCGATGGCTAAGTAGGTAGGGTGTTAGGTTTGTAAACTATAGGTCCCAGGTTCAAATCCCGATAGGTAGGCCAACATTTGCAAGTCTGTACTTGCCATGTCGAGTCTTCGATACTTGCAGATATACAATTGAAAATTTTTTTCATCAAAAATTCGATAAATTAAACCATTTTTTGCTATTATTGATCAATAATAATACATATGATATGGGTGCAGTGTGCATACCTGCAGTGACTATTTACTAAATTTAAAACAACAATTGGCTAGAAATAAGTAAACACGCCTGGGAGTTAGGCAACATCCATTCATGCCGGGCGTCCCCGTTTACTAATTCTAAGACAACAGTTGGTTTCAACACAATAAACGCGCATTCCCGTCCAACACGCCGTTTACTAATTTTAAACAAACCATTAACTTGAAGCCAGTAAATGCACGTGGGAGTTACTCAACTGTTTCCTATTTCTAAGTAAACAGTTTACCTAGATCAATACGACGGATACTCACTTCAAACCAACGATAATTTCTTAAATTTAGGAAATATTTTCACGGCATGGAATGTTTCCTTTTTTTAAGTAAACGCTTTCTTCTTTTAAGGGGACGTGGAGCGTTGGATTGAGAAAACGCTATTTCTTGATCCAAGGTAACTCCGTTATCTTAGTTCAAACCTCCGTTTCTTGTCGATACTTTTTAAGTATCCAGTTTACTTGGTCTAAGACGGCTCCGCCTTGTATTTAGGAAACATTTTTTTCAGTGTAAGATAAGGAGATAACAAAGGGGCCAGTTGAGTTTTCAGGATAAAGTAAATCATCAATTTTCTTAAGAATAATCGTTTTTCTACTTTCGGTAGCATTAACAGCATTAACTAAAGGATCGGCAATTGTGGAAACAGAAGCATTTTGGGTTTGGGAGTTAATACCAGGGGGGTCCCCTGGATCTACTGGGGGATCAGACATTTTTAGGCTGTCATCGGGAGACAGAGGTTAGAAAAGACGGACTTACCACATGGGACGGAGATAGATTAACAAAAACTTAGAAAAGGATAAACAAAAATAACCAAAGAAATTGACTAGAAAAATGAGGAAAAAAGAAAACTAGCTGGAAGACATAGGAACTAAAAAAACTCAAAAACGAAAAACGGTAGTAAAAAAACTAGCGAGAACCAAGAAGATAAGGAAGCGGAAGTAATACGCACTACACACTAGTCAGCTCGGAGGTTCGAACGCGAATGAACTCTGACCTTGGCCTTGGCAATGTGGGTTGCAGACTGCAATTAAAAGGTAGCGCTAGTGTCGCTGATCGGCGCCAAGTTTAAAACAGCGAAACAGGAATACGAGATATTTTAACTTCACCAAAATTGAAAAATAAAAAGTAAAAACACAATGATAATCAAAAACATTCACCTATATGGCCCGTGTTTATCTATATACTTCCTAGTATTTTCTGCGAGTAGAGTAGTAGAGAAAAAGAAAATTAACATACAGTTTCATGATGCTTCCATCGGTCTATATCGACGTTATTGAGATTCGTAATTGTCATGTGCTCAGGAGGCTTGGAGGTTATGTTTTCTTCAGTATCAACAAAACGTGAGCGCGGTCGATATGTCACGCGTGTTTTTCGGGAAAAATGGATAAGTAGATAGTTTTTAATTTCATAATTGTTCGAAAATATGCACAGAAATCGCGACCTTCTGGACGGCACGGCAATTGTAAAGATTTTAGGAGAGAATCCGGAAGATTCTAATGATGAAGATCTGGACAGTAGCGATGATGAGTTCAACTCTCGACCTGAGGAGATCTATGCGGAGAATATAAGACACTGTGTTGATAATTTAGAAGATGAACTTGTGAATGACAGTGAAAGTGAAGTGATTCGTGATGCATTTTTGCCTGTACTGAATGCAGCTTCACCCTTGGTAAGTCCCGCCTTTCTTAGTCCCACCATCTCAAGTGCTAACGAATCCATCCCAGGGCTGTCTCCAATTTTTCCGGATTTAAACTCTCCACAAAGTGAGCAGTCATCAGTGCACACTCCATCCGGGTTAGTTGTCGCGTCAAAAGATTCTTTATCAGCACCAAGCACCTCATGTGTTTCTAACTTTTCCACCCCAAAATCTTCATTGTCAGCAATATCGAGCCCTGTCGGAGAACGCAGCACTAGACCTGCTTTTGTTTCTCAGAATCGGAAAAGAGTAGTAGCTCGACGAAAATTACCAGTTGAAGACTGTATCGAGGATGCCACTAGCTCTCAGTGCATTTCTAAAGTCGATTCATTGCCCTTTAAATCTACTATATACATCTAAGACTGCACCGCGTTTTGTATCCGTCCTCAAAGAAAGCACAACCATTTCTCAGTCTAACTCTAATGTCGCCGCGTCAAAGTTAAATTGTATTGCCAGTACGTCGGGCACCCAACCTTCTCTCAATAAAATCGCGCCGAGTGTTGTGTCTCCAAAAATATTTCAAAGCATCATGAAATATTTCACTGAAATTTCCAATCTTTCATTTCTTTCTCACATTTCATGTCACCTTGACTCAGAGGCATACCTCTCAATGCGAGAAGCTTGAAAATAAAAGAAAAAAATACTCTCAGGTCCGCTGTCCAAAAATAGAGATTCCATTTCAGCATTAGACGCTATTTGAATTACGTAATGTTTTAAGAATAAAAAAAAACTATTTTCTTAGCTTTTTTTTCAAAAGGCCCGCACAAGAGTTATGCCCTGGCATCACCATTCCACTCCTGTATGTTGTTGCCAGATGGAAACAAGTGGATACTCAGACTAAAAGTTACTACATGTTGTTGCCGTATGGCAACGAGCTTTTTAAAGCTTCAAAAGTTAAAGAAAAAGTTAAAATTTCAAAAAAAGCTCCGAGACGTGTCCGTTTAATTTCATTTTTCTATAACATATATTTTTTTCATCAAAATCGGCGCCGCAAAAAAATTCCATGCAGTAGAGGGTTAAATCCCCTCCCCTTTTTTTTCTTCCTCCAACTAAAGAATTTTTCGAGGTCCCGAAATAAAATAAAGAAAAAGTGAAAGTCTCATACCTACATGCATTGCCTAGAGTTTTTTCTTATAGTCTCTGATCTATCTTAAATTTCTCACATCCCTTTTCTTTCCTCCAGTTGAAAATGTCCCCGATGGACGGAGACTTTTTTTATGCTTCAGGGGGGCTTGAGGGCTCTCCCCTGGACATTTTTTTTAAAATTTGATACGCGTATCAGACGCGATTACAATTCACAAAATGTGTCAGAAAGGTTGCAGGGGGTTCTTGGTGAGCCGTGCAGGAATAAAAGTATCTGACAGTACTTTGAAAAGTTGCTTGAAACAATCCGTAGTTTAATTTGAAACATTTTCAGAATATTTCCATAACGTTTCATCAAACACTTCGAAATTAGAAGTATCTGAAAACGTGTTGGAGATGTGTTGAAAACGTTTTTCTAAAACTTCAGCGACACTGGTTCGATTTATATTTAAAACGTTTTGAAATGAATTGAGGATGCTGATCGGAAAGAGAATTAAAACGTTTTGAAAATGAGTTGGAGATGTACCGCACCAATCAGTAATATTTATTAATAATTGAAAATATATCTAAAATGTGTCAGATAGGTTGCAGGAAGGTGTCGTTGAGCCGTGCAGGAAAAGTATCTGACAGTACTTTGAAAAGTTGCTTGAAACAATCTGTAGATTCATTTGAAACATTTTCAGAATATTTCCAAAACGTTTCACCAAACACTTCGAAATTAGAAGTATCTGAGAACATGTTGGAGATGTGTTGAAAACGTTTTTAAAAAGTGATAGTAGAACAATTTGAAAACATTTTGAACACATTTTAAAAACATTGTTTTCACGTTTCTGTAAGATGAAATGAAAATATTTTTAAACTGTGTTCAAAACACGTTGTCTCTGATGAAATATTTTACATGACTCGCAACTTTGTCTTCAAAATGTTTTGAAAACATTTTATTTCCCCTCCAAATTTTTCTTTTGTAAAATGTTTTGGATTGGTTTTCAAAACATTTCCGTTTTGTTAAATTTATCCAATTTGAAAACATTTTCAAAATGTTTTGGATATGTTTCAATGAAATGTTCAAAGTATTTGCGTCATTGAAACATTTCTGAAATGTTTCTAATATGTTTCATCGAGATGAATCAGTTTCGACACAAGTGGAATGTTTCTAAAACCTTACCGATCCGAGCTGTGCTACTAGGGCATCCCTTGTAATGCCGGGTCGACTGCGTATCCAGGTGACAACAAATCACTATTTTCAGCCACTTCTCGCACCAACTTCCGCATTCCGCCCGAACATCAGAGGTAATTAACATCTATTTAATGTCTTTTTAGTGTCTTTCTTGAACTGGTGCCAAATTTCTAAAATGTGTGTTAATTTTTAAGAGGTAAAGACACCATAACCAAATTTAATATTTATACTTTGTACTCTCTATACAGGGTGTACCAAAAGTCCGTCCCACCCCTGCTAACTTTTGAACGAATTGAGCTAGGGTAATGAAACTTTGGAAATGTTCCTATCTCAAAGGGGACCATCTTTTGGGGGGGGGGGTCAAAATTTTGACCCCCCCAAAAGATGGTCCCCTTTGAGATAGGAACATTTCCAAAGTTTTATTACCCTAGCCCAATTCGTTCAAAAGTTAGCAGGGGTGGGACGGACTTTTGGTACACCCTGTATAATAAGCCCCTAAAGACAGTCGTTTTATATTTATTATCTTTTTCCCCATCTAGTCACATTTGTAAAATTTTTTAGTAAAAGACGTTAGTAATTAGCCAATTCTCAACACCATTTGGCATTTTTTTCTGCTTTCAATCAAGCAATCCACACGTCTAATCATCTGTGACTGAACGACTTGTCATTAATATTCTACTCATTTGCACTCTTTGCTTGCGGGGAAGTGGGGACAAATAATAATCAACAAATATCCATTTACTCAAGTGTATATATTATATTATTTAAATATCGATAACATATTTTTGTCATAATTAACCAAATCTTAGTATATAGCACCTATACTCTTTGTACATAGATAGGAATGGCCTCCCCATTCCACCCATTATCATTGTTCTTTTATAATTTAATCTAGCATAATTAGGCTTAACACGTTTGTATGTAGTTGTCTATTTCTCTAATAAACAAAAAAAAAAAAATTCTTCGGATTTCCAAAATGCATGTTTTTTGTTTGATCAAAGCAAGATTTAAAAAATTTACGAAAATATTTGGAGAATATTTCACCTTAATTTTGAGAAAGCATCAATTCGTTATTCTAATCATACAAATGCCATTTTTCAGTTGTTACGAAACTCTATTTGAAAATTTTAGAGCACGGCTTTGAGGAAACTTCAAAACCTGTTCTGTAATAATATCAAGTTTCGTTCCTTAAAAATTGCAAAATTCACCTTTGATAAAAACGCAAATCGTAGTTTTGCGAATTTTACAAAACTGTTTCTGAGTATTTCAATTACGTTTCGTTATTATATCAGTCTTAATCGCCTAAATTAACACAATTCTTTATAGGATTCAGCAATTCTTGTTCGTTTATAATATCAAGTCCGCTTGAGTATATATCTACCGCAAAAAGCTTTAAAAACAAACTAATGTCCAATATAATTATCATTTGTAGTGATAAATTAACAATTTTCTTCATATTTTAGCAAAATAACTAAAATGCTAATTCTAGGAAAAAGTGATTTGATAATTCAACAAATTTGCTTTCTTGAATTATAAACCGATTCACATGATTCAGCCGAATTTAAGAGGCCAATTTTTACATTTTGTGTTTAGTAGAAACCACATTTCCTTTTTTTTCGGTGTATTTACATGTGTGATTTAATCATGTCTACTATTACTTCGACTGCAATCTTCTCGATACCCTTCCAAATCCATATACCTATTTTATAATATTTTGACGCCTTCAGCTTTTCCAAGACAGTGGAGTGATTTTTGAATGTAGGCAAATGCTGTTCCGGAGCGGTCTCATTAGTGATGGCGTCCATCTTCACAAGATCAATAATGATAATGGTGTCATTTGTTATAACTAGGGCTTCGTAAATTTCTTGGCAATTCTGTGTGAAAATTTCCGAGACGATATTGTCCTTTGGTACTCCGGTCAACAACGTTTCCAAATCCTTTCCAAATCTTTTCATTGATTCATTCAAATCCAAGCGGAAGTAAGGGCTGGGAGAGTTGTAGTGAATATTGAGATACTTCTGAATACTTTTGCTTTCATTCTGATTACTTTCGTTTCCATTCTGTAGGCCCTTGAAAGCTTCTAAGAATTTGTCATATTCTTCCTGTTCTTTTCTCAACTCTGGTTCAAATGCTTTTTTAATATAGTCCTCAACTTCTTTGTTCGGGATTCTCAGTTTAAAAACGTCTTTTTTTTTTGTTTTTACGGCATTTAAATATCCCGCTTGGGCCAGAAGACTCCAATATGTTTCTTCTTTTTTAAACAAGTCTTCGACCACCAAATCCTTTTCGATTGTTTTTTCTAATGCGTACCCAGACAGTAGTAAATGAATATGTAGTATTCCGATTCTACCGGAATAAGAAATTAGACTCTTGAAGAGTTTGAGCGATCCCGTTTGCCCCCAGAAAGTTTCGAATTCGTTTTGCGATATTGCCGATAACACAGAAAACGGATTAAATATACTTGCATCACCGAACTTGTACCCGTCATACCATTCGTCGAAGTCCTTGTACTTCAATTGAGTTTTTGATTTGATAATTAAGTCATCAACTTCGATTTTGGTAAATCCAAACAAGGAATTGAACGTCTGGTCGTTAAATATGGTAAACTCTTCAAAATTTGATAAATCGGAGAATAGACTGGCTTTCGCCAGATAGCTAATCCCGACGAGAATTCCCTTATCAGGACTGGGTTTGATCCCATCCTTGAAAAAGAAAAGGTAAAACTCTCTCATCAGTTCGAGAGTTACTGAATATAATTCACTGTTGGTGAGATCTTTCCCTGCTTCTAATGTTCGTATTTCCTGTTCAAGTGTATTTAAAATCGGAGTATCATACTCGTCAATCAAGACGGCGATTTGGTAACCTTTTTTTCTAAGTGATTCTATCAAGATTGCATATCCATCCAGCAAAGGCGGCAATGAATCGATCTTTTGTTGAAGGAAAAGGCGCTCTAACCATACTTTATCTCGAGAATTTAATGTCGTTTCATACATGCCAACATATCGATACAATACAAACTTAATATAATGTAAGAAATCGGCTTCAAATTTCGAAGCTGTACGTTTTGTGGCAAATCTTAAAAAAGAAAAGTGAAACACTGCGTATTGGTTTTGATGATTCCTCCTTACATGTTCGAACGCAGGCTCCTTAGTAATGTTGTAATTTGCGAATAGGTTTTGGGACGTTACAAGAGAGTCCTTACTTAAAAATGCTTTCAGCATAGAGAGATTCATCGTTTTTCCAAAACGACGAGGTCTTGTTATAAGTTTAAAGCGATTTCCTGTCAATGCAAGCCCAATAAATGCAGTTTTGTCAACGATCGCTACATTTTCCTTCACCAGTTCTGTGAAATCAGACGACGAAATCTGTACATGAACAGCATCCCCATTCGTAGAAGTCTGAAATAAAAAGGAAAATGTATTAGAGTAGACAAATAGGTCACACATCTGCAACGGGTAGTTAGGCACACAGTCAACGGTTGAATTTTCATGACACCATCACTTCTCCAAGAAGGTTCATGCAGTTTATTAGTCAGTGAGATTGGAGTTTCATTAGGCTGCCAAGAATTTGTTTAGAGGAAGTAGCCCACACCCACATGCCACATTGAACAAGAAACAATGATTTCCTTTCGAATCATGTTAGTCCCGACCCCAATACCACATTGAACAAGAAAAAAATTATTTTCTTTCAAACCATGGTAGCCCCCAAACAGATGCGACACTGAATTAGAAAATATGGTTTTCGCTCAAATCATGTTGAAAAATGTCTCAATTTCATCTCAAATGTGACAATGTTGTTGAAACTATCCAATCAGAACACACTTTCAAACTAATTCAACAAACTTAGAGTACCTGTATACGAGAGAGTATTGCCATCTCAATCCTTTTACTACGTAGAGAGTTTGCCCCCCTCTGATTGGTCAGTCTAAAGTAAACCAGTGTTGCTAAGTAGAAATGACATTTTTCCTAAAAGGACATATTTTCACTGTCAAGCGTTGCTGCAGCGACCCAAGATCAATATGTACAGCTCTTACTCAACCACCGAAGCCTTCATCGTCGAGCGATTCAACAGGACGCTCAAAACGAAGATGTGTAAAGAGTTCAGCGCGCAAGGATCGTTCAAACGGTTAGAGCTTTTACCGAAACTCGTGCAAGAGTACAACGAGAGCGTTCATCGCACCATCGGAATGAGACCTATCGATGTTACCGAGAAGGATGTACTAACGATCCTGGAAAAGCTTCGCGGACCGCCATTGACTAAAACCGAAAAGAGACGTTTGGTCAGACGGAGATCAAGGTCGGTGATCACGTCCGCATATCGCGACTCAAAGCCATGTTCCAGAATGTGTACATACCGAACTGGATCACGGAAATTTTCAAGATCGTCAACATCAATCCGACCGTTCCGATAGTAGGGTGAAAATGCCGACTTTAGGCCTGTATATTATCCAACAGCGTTGCACAATGGTGCAGAAAAATACGAATTAAATTACAGCGTTGTATAGGGATTATTGTACAATATGGCAACGCTGTAAAAAGAAAGTATTGCATGTTGCCCCTTCAATATGCGGGTTATGCAATGGTGTAATAATGCCCCTTCATTTTTCGGGTTATGCAATGGTGTATTTTTCAAGATGGCGCAGCAGCGTTGCCGCGTGGTGCATGTAAATAAATGATTTATTTATTGGTGAAATTTTCCAACATTGCATTTTACAGTGTTGCCAGATGGGGCAAGAAATTAGTTGATTTTTAGATACAGTGTTGCCAGATTGTGCAAAAAAATTCGGATTTTCGGACTTGTAAAATTTTTCCGTTTTGAAAGACCGTATATTACCATATGGGTCGGTATCAGATAGTGTAGATTAGGGTCTGATTCGGAAAATTGGAAAATTTTAGGAAAATCACCCTCGTCCGATCCGCCGCGGACCGATGCGATTCTTATCCATTATTGAAGATCGGAAAACTGTACTGGCTGAATTTCGATACGAGTTTTGGTTTTCGAGATTTCGGACTTGAAAAATTTTCGGCTTCGAAAGACCGTATCTTGCAGTATGGGCCTGGTATCGGATACTGTAGATTAGGATCTGATTCGGGAATTTCAATTTTTCAGTAGCGTGCGCTTGGAGATGCGTATCGGGAACGTTGTGTTTTGGGATGACAGTTTGACGAACAGTTTGACGAATCAAAAATTTTTATTGGATATTTCCAGTTACAGTTCCAGTTTCAAACAGTTCGCGTTTAGAAAACGCAAACACGTTTCGAAAACGCAAACACGTTTCGAAAACGCAATCACGTTTCGAAAACGCAAACACGTTTAGAAAACGCAAACACGTTTCAAAAACGCAAACACGTTTAGAAAACGCAAACACGTTGCATATTATTTATACGAAATCCTTACTATCGATCCAACTGTTGTGACTCGCGTCCAGACCCAACCATTTGACAAAGACCTGGTTTTTCTTGCGACGCAGAATTTTCTCCACCAGGAACGTATCTTTATAGTTGGTGGGGTGGAGTTCTTCGCGGTAGAATTTTCCTTTGATGATTGTATCGTGTGCGTCTTTCAGATCGTACGTGATCGGAACAGTGGGATTGACGCTGACAATCTTGAAAATTTCCGTGCTCCAATTCGGTGTGTATCCTTTCTCGAACATGGCTTTGAGTCTCGAGATCCGGACGTGATCACCGACATTCAGTTTTCGTCTGGCCAGACGTCTCTTTTCAATTTTACTCAGCGGCGGTCCACGAAGCTTTTGCAGGATCATCGGTACATCCTTTTCGGTGACATCGATTGGTTTCATCCCGATTGTGCGATGAACGCTCCCGTTATATTCACGGATGAGTTTCGGTAATAGATCTACCCACTTGTAAGATCCTTGCGCTGAACTCTTTCCACATCTTCGTTTTGAGCGTTCGATTGAATCGCTCCACAATAGAGGCTTTGGTTGTCGAGTACGAGCTGTACATATTGATCTTGTGACGCTTCATCAATGCCTGACATTTGGAGTTGTAGAATTCCGAGCCCATATCGACTTGTAAATGTTTCGGTGACTTTCCGGCTGCTTTGAGAACGCGTTGCAGAGCATAAGTAACATCCGCGGCCGTTTTCGATTAGAGCGGTTCGGCCCACGCCTTTTTCGAGCACGCGTCGATGACGGTGAGGAGATATCTGTATCCTTTGTTGACCGAGGCGTACGGTTGCATCTCGACGAGATCGGCTTTTCATAATCGAACAATCCGAGAATCCGTACTTTACGACGCGGATAGTTTCGTCGTGCAGGTTTATGTAGCTCCTCGACGATCCCACGTTTTTCTGCCGACATTATAATTACCGTCGACGTCGTCCGCTCTCTCCATTCAAATGCTGTTTCGTTGCTACTATTTTAACCAGACGATTGTAAGATTGCTGAAGTTGGTGGATACGCTCCAGACAGTGTTGAGCTAATTTCATGGCTTCCTTCCACTTCCGTTCGGACCATTGTTTGTTCACCGCATCCTCATCGCTTTCGGGATCTTGCACTTGACGAATCCGTTTGTTCGATACGATATAAATTCCGTCGGAATCCAGTGAGAATCCGTCACCTTTTGGCCCGCGGCGGAATTTCGATCGGCCAAAACCGTCCGTGTGACTCATTTTAACACTATTTTCCTTTCATTCGATTCACAACCTCTAGTTGACTGATTCTATTTTCCAGTCGTGATAATTTCGTCTCGAGTCGTTGCGCGATACTTTTGTAATCTTCCATTCTCTCCAAACAAAGCTGTGCTAAATTCATAGCTTCCGTCCACCTCGAGTCTGTCCATTGTTTGTTCACGGCGTCGGTATCCTCTTCGGGATCTTGCAGTTGTCGGATCCGTTTGTTGGATACGAGCGTAGCGTTGTTCGCTTTGAGTTTGATAGCTTCCGCTCCCCCAAGTTCTCCCTGCA